ATCTGGTGGCCTTTCCTTTTCTGAACGTGGGAAGTACAGGTTACTGCATCCAGTTTGTGCCGGTAGAAAGTCACATGGACTCACAGTGAGGGAATGGAGCCCTGTTTGCTCCCTTTGCCACACTACCAAATCACACATTTAAGTACCTAAAACAAGTTTATTTATTCTCTTAGTGTGCTGGAGGTCAGAACTCTTCCACCAGGGGGCGCTGGGGAGAGTCCCTCTATCTTCCCAGCCACTTGAAGCCCCTGCGCTGCTCAGCTGTCTACCCAGCCTCACTTCAGTTCTAACTTGTGACTCTGGACCTACTCAGATAATCACAGGATGTGGAGCTGAAATCCCTTAACCAAGCCCCAGAACGATTAATGTGGCGTTCCCTCAGCTCCTGGGCACCATGCCGGCTGTTTACTTCCTGGGAGACCATTCTTCTGCCCACAAGGACAAGGCCTTCCGTGGGGCTTTGTGGTTTCTGAGGTTTGGCAGTTTAGCCTGGAGTGTGCAGGTCTCTGTGCAGGCAAAGAAGCTGCCTTGCTTCCTTCCTCTGTAGGTTGGGAATAGCCTCTGAAAAATCTTTCCTCATCTGTAAGACGTCTGTACTGTGTAGAAAGGACACAGCTGTGGTGAAAAATAAGCAGGCTTATTTCAGCACTGCCCTGAGAAGAGAGCACATTCTCTTAAGCATCCAGGGTATCCCTGTGTTTAATAGAAAAAATGTTCACTTCTCAGCCCATCTTTGTCCCATAGAAGGGATATTTCTTTCACAAGGCCTCTGTCTGCAGTGTGCCTGTGGGTCTGTTGGGCTATGTTCTATGAAGTTATGATGTCCACTGCACTAGAAGTTTCTTTCTAAGAAGTTCTCTTATTTAAAGAGAAAAAGGGACCTCAGAGACTCCATCCAGTTCTCTGTAGATAGTAACTGATTTTATCCTTTAAAAAAAAAAAAAAAAAAGAGCTAAAAAGACTAGAGAGAAAAGGTGATCTTCTGGGCTCCCCTCTCACCTTCGGCCATGTCACCTGACAAAGTATGTCCTTCCCTTGGGTCTCAGTTTTCTTGTCTGTATGATGAGCTTGTTGGATAACTCAGTTGTAAGGTCCTGTATAGTTCTTATGCAATACTGCCACAAAAGTATCCACTCTGTTATAATGGCATAGTGTTAGTTACAATTTAGCTGAATTGATGCTTGTATTTAACACATTGAACAGGATTTGTTGTTAAGAACTGGAATTCTGTGAAAGCTCCATTTAAAATGTTGCCTTGTTATCTGTATTAAGCATAAAGGAGAAAAAATGTGTCCCCTGGGCAAGAATTCATTCCAGCCTGAGGAGCATCACAAGGAGGGCGGGAAGGGAGCATCAGCCACGTAGCCCTGTGTAGAGCATGGTCTGGTGCCCACCCACTGAGCTGAAGGTCTGAGCCTAGACCACCCTCGGAGTCACTTGGCCAGGCAGCCTTAGCCAGGCCTAGTGTGTGAGAATCTCTAGAAGGCCTGTGTGTGTCTTTAAAAGCTCTCCCCCCACCCTTTCCCCCCATGTATCCTGTAGTTTAGAGCTTCTGTCTTTGCTGGTGCCATTGTAGGAACATGCTGAGCCCTTGACGTGATGTGCCATCTTTGCTTTTGCGTTTCTGTGGACTTAGTGAACCATCTCTTCCATCTTTAGTTGTTTCTCTTACCATAGTTATCAACTGCTGCTTCTCCTGCCACTGCTACTACTACTGCTGCTGCTGCTGCTGCTGCTGCTGCTGCTGCTATTTGCCTAAGCAGTACAGATTTCTTAGTAACCTTTATCTCCAAACACAGACGCTGAAGGCAGATCAGACCGGCTTGAGGTACAGACAACCTTTGGGCTCAGGACTCATATTCCTGGTTCCTCTTCATTATGGAGGTTGCTGCAATGGCTTGGTTAAGCCCTGTGGGAGAGTCTGGAAGCATCCCTACATATAAACTGGAGTTTTTATTTATTATTTGTGGCCTATTAAATAATCCATGTTTCCACACAATGACCCAGCCTTTTGATGTCCATGAGTCCCATTTACCTGTGAGCTACCAATGATCAATCCTGGTCCAAAAACATTGAATGGGAAATTTCAAAAACAGTAAAATATTTTGAGAGAGAACACATTCACACAGCTTATATTGTCATGTGTATTGTTCTATTGTAAGTAGTGTTAACTTCTTGCTGTATCTAATTTATCAATCTTATTCTAAGTATAAATATATAGAAAAATATAGGGGTCCATACAATCTGTAGTTTCAGATATCCTCTGTGGGTACTTTCACCCCTCAGATAAAGGGAATTACTATATGTCTCTGTCCCTGGATTTAACATGCACAACTGTTTATTCTAATTTATACTTTGGGTCTGTTCTGTATTGTAACCTTATCAGGTAAAGCCAGCAGGGACGGAGCTGCTGTCCAGTGGAGGTGTACTTCCAGGCTCATTATTATAAGGGAGATCATGACCAGGGCAGCTGTACGGGCTCCAGCAGAGCAGAGAAGGAAGGTCTACCTTAGCACTGTGGAGAACAGTGTAACTTATTGCTGCACTAGGATGCACACAAACCTTGACTGGGGAAAGAAGTTTGCACTGCAAAGTGGACTCATATCCCTATTTCCTTGGAAACTATGATGTTGAGATGGATTTAGGATACTGGGTTCAGATTTCCCTAATGTGAAGCCCCATGCCTGGGCTGAGAACTCAGTGACTCTTGTGCTAGGGGGCAGAGGAGAATGGGGTTGATTCACTCATGTGTTTCAAATTGCAAAGTTTCTGAGCATCTATGATTATGCAAAGCCAGGTCTGTCCTCTAGGAAAGTGGTGTCACTCAGACACAGAGCTATTGACACCTCACAGTTGGGAGAAAAGTGGTTTCTTGTTGGCTTCCCACCTCCTTTTATCTGGGTCTGCTGTCCTAGCCTGTCTATCAATAGCGGCTGCACCGCTTCAGGCTTGGGTGTCTGACATGTTCGATTTTGACCCAGTGGTCGGTGATGCATTATTACGGATAAATGATAGGGTGACCTAACATTTCCATCTGATGCCTTAGTGGTCCCTAGAATTCATGAAACACTAAAGAAAGCTATAGTTAGAACTAATGTTAGAAATGAAAATAAAAAAGTGTAAGAAGATTATATGAGTCCTCTGTAGTGATTGGATCCTTTGACCCACCATTACCAGAGAATTCATCCAAGAGAATCACCAGCTATGACAGAAGAGAGCCCCAGACAAGGCTATGGTGTTATGTGTAACGCAGAGAGCTAACACAAAGCAGGACAAGGGTTATTATGGGTCCACAGTGAAGAGCTGACACTTCTGGAGGATTTTTATGAAACAACTGTAAGTGACTATCCAAGAAAAGGGTGGAATAACCGTAACAGCCAGCAGAGGTGGAGTGCTGGGGAGGGGTAGACCTGCTAGAAAATAGTGTCCTCTGGATGTAATGGGGAATTGCACCCACTTACTCTCAAAAATATGGGCTGCCTGCACAAGACCATGCCAATCCACATTCTGGATGATGGAAGGACTCATCAGCTGTTGAGGGAAGGAGTTTTCTTTTGGGTAAACCACCTGATAGGCTGCCCAAGCGGAAGTGGTTAGTACTACACCTATGTACATACTTGGACTTGAGATATGTATATATACATATATATGAATATGTAATACATATGTATATATACATATTAGAAGGACAGGCCATAAATTTGAGAGAGGGATGTAGAGGGAACACAGAGTTTGGGGAGGGATAGATACAATGAAAATACAATATATTCGTATATGGATAAAATTTAAAACATAGCACATCAAATTTTTAAATACTTGTAGAAGCTTTCGAGAAAGGAATATCTGAATACAGTGTCAATAATGACCAAGAGACTGTACTATGGGAAATTTTCATTATTTACATAGTAAAGTGGTTTTTAGCAAACCAGAAGCATGTAGTACAACACTATAGTGCAGTTCCGAAGTAAACAATATTCTTCAGAAGCAAATGTGCTCAGTCATGGACCAGAGAGCAGGTATGTTCTAAGGGAGGGAAGACGCCATCTTTGGTCTGTGGGACTGTTGGCTTGTGTTGCTTGTCTCTGTGTTTCTGGTAAATTAAAGCTGATCTTTAATTTCTGATTGGGTGGGTTTTGTGCTGAACAGGCTGAAAGAACCTGTTATCTTTTTCAGTTTTATAATTGTTAGCGTCCACTATCATTATTTATAGTTTTATAATCTTGTGTATCATCCATTCCTTACAGTAGGAATGACATTTGTTAGGCCAGAATGTGGTAACTTTGACATCAGCTGCTTTGCTCAAGGGTGCGTGATGTCAAGATCATTTCCTAGATCATTTTCCATCCTATTTTTTGAGACAGGGTACCCTGCTGTCCCTGGAGCTGGCTGGTTTGGCTCGACTTACAGGTTAGGGAGCTTCAGGCTTGGTTCATCATGCTGTGTGGCTGGCAGTTTACTTACTGAGCCATCCCCTCCCCCACCCCCAGCCCTTGTTTAAAACTTTTTGTGTTTCTGCCTTTTCTAGAGCAATTCTGACTTTCCTACAGGAAAGCAATGATGAAATACTATGTACTTTAGAGATGAGAAAGATGTCATAAATTTCTGAAGTCTTGCTGGAATACATTGAGGTTTATAAACTGCTTGCTTCAGTTTAGAATGGTTTCCAGCTTATGAATGTGACCGGACAAAATCAAAACTTAAACATGAAACATTTTTGTGGTTTTTTAAATTAATTACTTATTGGTATGCACATAAGAGTAAGCATGTACACTGTGTTGGGGAGGGGGTTAAGCACATGCAATCGCACTGCAGTGGAAATCTGGGGACAACTTTGTGGAGTTGATTCTCCTACCTTTGATAAAGGTTCCAGGAGTAGAACGAAGGTCACCACGCTATCGTGGCAAGCCTTTGCCCGGCAAGTGTCTTTACACACAGATTAAGCATCAACTGAAAAATAGCTTCTAGTAACAGTGTCACCTCACCTGGCTTTCCCTTTTCAGGATCTGGGACGATGTCTGGGGAAGTGCCACCCAACATTAACATCAAGGAGCCTCGATGGGACCAGAGCACATTCGTTGGCCGAGCCAGTCACTTCTTCACAGTTACCGATCCCAGAAACATCCTTCTAACAGACGAACAGCTAGAGAATGCGAGGAAAGTGGTGCATGATTACAGGTAATGCTGGCTCTGTGTGGTATGAAATTACAGGTCACACCACCAGCGCTGCATGCGTGGTACACGATTACAGGTACAGAATGAGGCAGGGAGGGAAGGAAGAAAAGACAGACACACATATAGGAAAGCTGGCGTCCGGTGGGGCCGTGCGCAACCCAGAACCTCAGGTGTTTATTAGGTAGAGCACAGAGGAGGGCCTAGCTCGTCTAGGTAGGAGGACTCTGGATAAGCAGGCTGGGGCTGCAAACATCCTGGAGGAAACTGCAGCTGCTAATCTTTGCACACTGGTCACACATCCTTGAACTCATCCTTTGCCATCTCTCCTGAGCCTGGCCCGTGTGGAGATCTAGCTTTGCCAGTTTCTCGTGGATTCAAGGTCTTGGTCTTTGTTATATACATTCTCCCAGGGGACTTTCTTCACATCCTATAAACTCAGACTCACGCGCAAAGGATAAAAACCATAGGAACACTTAATATTTACATGGTTGTTTCATCAACAAGTTTCCTCATTTCTAAATAATCTTGGATGTGGGGAGAATTCTATTATGAAGGCTTATTCCCACATCCTTTGTAAATGGAAAAGGTAGGTCAATTAAAATCCAAATTAGGAGAGTGATTTTTTTTTTAAGCTCACATTGTGGGGTAATCTGTAGTGTTTAAAGAATGGATCTGAGTCACAGAAGGGTCACACTCCCTCTGAAGAGTCTCAGGAGGGTCCTCCTTGTCTCTGGCCTTGGCTTGTAGATGTGTGATTGTACTCTCTGTCTTCTCTGCTTGCACACAGACACTATTCCTTGGATTTATTGACCACTTATCCAATAGGACTTCACTTCGGCTAATTGTGTCTATAGAGCCATATGTTCTTTAACTTAGGAGTTAATTCAATGTAGATGGGTTAGAAGAATGTTACATAAACAGGCAAAGAAATATTTACAGACTATTATTGAATGAAGACCTTGGTTAGTGAGCATACGGTTTGGTCTCATACCTTAAACACCTAGGAAGGTTTGTATTTGCCCAAATGTTGCCAATGGCAAACAGTAGATACACTCTGGGCAATTCCATAGCTCCACTGAATTTGAATATTTTCTAAATTTCTGACAATGAGTATTTCATTGATAATGCAATATTACAAATTGTGCACCAAGCCCTTTATTTTCACCAAAGGGTCCCTAATCTGTTTGCCAACTACAAGTTTAAAATAAAGCAATAACCTTGAGAGGCATAATGTTGGTCTGAATGGCTAAGAATGGTTCAGAGTTTGCTAAATTCAGATGACACTTTTACTATGTCATTTTAAACAATGAATATCTTTAAGTTGAATACTCCTTGGTAGGCATGGTACTTTCTGTTATTTTCTGAATTATGAATACTTGAGATGAGAGAATTTGAGGAATTCACTGTAGCCAGCTTTGTTCTTATGTTCTAGGTTGTGAGCATGGGTCAGGGATAGAACACATGCTCGGTATGTGTGAGGCTCTGGGTTCGATCCCTAGCACCCAAAACAAATATTAAAAAAATAATAATAAAATAAAATTACAACCCACGCTCTAACAGCCCTGCCAGATCCCATAGGCATAGTAAAGTCTCAAAAACCATGTCGTTCATAGTTGACGATGCCCAAAAGGGGCAGTTGCTGGACCGATTGTTGTCATCTTCTAGACAAGGAATCATTCCTGCTGGCCTCACAGAAAATGAGCTATGGAGAGCGAAGTATGCGTATGACTCGGCCTTCCATCCTGACACGGGCGAAAAGATGACTCTGATAGGAAGAATGTCAGCCCAGGTCCCGATGAACATGACCATCACGGGCTGCATGATGACCTTCTACCGGTAAGTTACAGCCGGGTGCACATCACAGAGCCTGCGAGTCACGTAGCCTGCGCGTCACGTGTTAGTCAATGCGCTGCTACGGCCATTCAAAGAGTATTTTAATATACATTCTATCGAAATAAAATGTCACAGTGATTATGTTAACAAGAATGATGAATTCATCCTACAGTGTGTCAGAGCCTGTCGTACCCCATAAATACAGTCAGTAAAAAAATAAAAGAAGATATAGGTCAGGCGAGATGGCACTTCGAGTAAAAGGGCTTGCCACCAAGCTGGAACACAGGGTTCGATTCCCAGGAACCACTTAGTGGATGGAGCGAGCAGAATTGTCCTAAGTCGTCCTCTGACCTCCACGTGTGTGCATGCTCACGTGCATACAAAATAAATTTAAAATTTGAATTAAAAACTTTAAAGTAGAACATATGACAGTTGGAATTAAGGTGGAGGTGCTTAGAGTGGCTCACCCCTGGAGCCATAGCTTTGGGAGGGTAAGATAGGATTTTGAGTGTGAGGCCAGCCTGGCGATACAGCTAACACCAGCCTCAAACTAACAAGAACAACAGCAAAAGTAATTACTAAGATAAGATGAGGCAATGTTGCGTTTACATTAAGAAAGATACCATTTCATCTTTACCTCCACCCTCTTCAGCAGTCTCTAGCATGAGATGTGTAAATAAACACCCGTTTTATCTGGACTCGGAGGCTCAGGCCTGGAATCGTAGCACACAGAAGACTCAGGCGCTAAGAAACCATGAGTTTGACGTCATTCCTGACAAGCAAGATAAGATAAAATAATTATGACAGTAATAAATTATACAATTCATTTCAAACGTGTGTTTTCCCTCGAATTATGCAAAATTAGGGACCAGAGAAGTGTCTCTGTGGCTGAGAGCTCTCACTTGATGCTCTTACAGAGGACCCTAGCTCAGTTTCTAGTACCACATGACAGCTCACAACGGTCTATAATTCCAGTTTCAAGGGATCCAACACCTTCTGGCAGGCATTGTACACACACGATGCACACACATACATGCAGGCCAAATACTCATACACCTAAGATTAAAAATGAATAAAGCGTTTTTTAAAAGATACAAAATGATACCTTTGTTTAAAAGAAAGTTGACATTTTCCCTAAATCTGAAGGCCTTAAGAAAATGAGCTAGAAAAAAATAAAGAGTCTAGAAAAAATTCTAATACTCTTTCTCCTTGTAGATCCAGAAGCATTTAGGCATAGTGAGAGACAAGGGTACAGCGTCCTGGGGCATTAAACCCATAAGAAGAGTCAAGCCCGCTTTGCTTGCAAATAGTTTTGTTTTACTCAAGAAAGAAATCTTCCATTTATTGTCTACTCTGTGCCAGGCTTTTTATAAATTTTATTTATTTGTGATAGAAGAGGTCCTGGATAGTCTTTTTTGTCAACTTGACACAAGCTAGCATCATTTGGGAAGGGAGATCAATTAAGAAAAATCTTATCATAAAACTGACCCGTGTGCAAGTCTGTTAGGCATTTTCTTGATAGTAATTGATATGGAAGAGCCACAGTAGGTAATGCTGCTCCTGGGCTGGTGGTCCTGAGCTCTATAAGAAAGCAGGCTGAGCAAGCCATGAGAACAAGCCAGTAAGCAGCAGCCCTCCATCATGGCCTCCACATCAGCTCCTGCCTCCAGGTTCCTGCCTTAAGTTCCTGCCCTGACTTCCTTCGATGTGATGTGGAAGTGTCAGCTGAAATCAACCCTTTCCTCCCCAAATGGCTTTTAGTCATGATGTTCACCATAGCAATAGAAACCCAAAATTGAGCCTTGTGAAACTGATGATAAAGAAACAGAGTCTCAAGGGAGACGCCCTGTAGACCTACATCGGCAGCCCAGGCTATCTCCCTGCATAGTGCCTTTCCTTGCTGGTAGTTGATGGTCAGCATCTCTTTAGGTCCTGAGGGATGCTCACGGGTGCTAGTGGTATGTGACATCTCTGCTGTGTTTTAGGACCACACCAGCTGTGCTCTTCTGGCAGTGGATAAACCAGTCCTTCAATGCCATTGTCAACTACACCAACAGAAGTGGTGATGCTCCCCTCACTGTGAAGTAAGTTCACGGGGATGACTTGTCCTCCATGAGCCCCTGCTCCTTATGTAGCAATGCACTGACACATAGAACTTGCTCCTGCAACGTCTCTCCTCCTCCCTCTCTGTCTACCAGACAGCCCTCAGCCATACCTCTGTTAAATGACTCCCCTCTGGGCTGCATGTGTCAAAGCCACCAGGACAAGCTGAGATTGATTAAATAAAGCTGTAGATATAACTTGCACAATATTTGGAAGAGAAATCCTTTTTCCTGTTTATTTTTGAAAAGTGCCTTTGACTCCTAATACTTAGATATCATCAAACGAAGCAAGGGACACTGAAACCTGCCACCCAGTGGCATTTCTCACAATGAGCAGAGCAGTTCAGGCTCGGCTGCACAGTAGAGATAAGCTTGGACTCTTCTCACACAGTGAGATAACATTGTAGGAATGTCGGTGCTGCCCTTTGCTTTCTGTGTGTACGTTAATATTTTGAGTAATAATTTTGATTTGTGCAAATGTGCCTCAGACACTTAGCCCCGAGGCTTTCCTATGTCCCTGGTCTTCCACACTCACAAGCTTTCCTACATCTGTGGCTTCCCACACACTCACTCCCAGCTCTGTTCCTGCCTCACCTTCCATGTGTCCTTCATCTGCATGTCTGCTTCTCTGGGGTTGTAGCCCATTTTCAGGGATGTGTTCGCTTTGTCTCTAGATTTTCATACGTATGGAGTGACCCCAGATTTTCCTCTGCAGACTCTCAGTTTCTTATCGTTCACTTCTGCCTTCCCAGTTTCTTCAGGTCGTATGTTCATGATGCCCAATGTGTACCCGTCATTTACACAGTGTCTTTATTCTTTTCAGTGAGCTGGGAACGGCTTATGTTTCTGCGACAACTGGCGCTGTGGCGACAGCCCTTGGACTCAATGCCTTAACCAAGGTACTTTAGCTTTTTTTCCATAGTAAAGCATCTTAATCTATTCTCACCTGTCACTCTGGGTGCCATTTCTCAAGAGTTCCAGTCACTTGGCTTGCTTGTAGGAATCTTCAACTGAATATTTTAATTGTATCTTCTAGTGGATGGGGGAAGGGCTGTAACTAGTAGCATCGTCCAAGAGTGGTCTGTTCTCAGCCAGCTCTGAGGATTAACTATTAAATGCCTTTATCTAAAAAGCCCTTCTAAGACCAGAATGGGAGTCAGGGGATGTGTCTTGAAGAGGTAAAGCTAGCATCTGAAATCAAAGTTCCGAAATCTGAGGACTCTCAAGTCCGTGTGCTTTCAGCACCTGAACTAAGCTATCAAGATGGATACATTGTCTCTGTATGTCCTTGCCAGAGATACAGAAATACTTCTAAGCCAAGAGTTGGAGGGCCTCTTGGCCTAGAAGCTCTATCCAGCCATGACTGCTGTGTTTTTAGGAAGACGTAAGCATTTCTATTCAGTCGTCCAGGAAAAGTAAGGTGCTGCTTTTGGAATTATCTTTTCTACAGCGTGTCTCACCACTGATAGGACGTTTTGTTCCCTTCGCTGCTGTAGCTGCTGCTAACTGCATTAATATCCCGCTGATGAGACAAAGGTAAGATGAAATATGAGGCAGGCAAGACCTCATGCCTGATAGAGTTTAGAAAGGAAGTGAATTCTGAGCTCTGCTTGAAATACTCTGGGAATGGAGATTGTAAGGGCAAGCCCACTGGGTTCATACTTACTGAAGTGGGCTGAAAAAAATGCCTAGAGGCTTAGAATGCATAGCCTTCCTATTTCAGAGGTGTGTCTCTAGCCTATACCTTCTGCAAAGAGAGAATTCTGTAAGATTGAGATCAGAGAGAAAACCAAATGTTTCTTGAGTTTTCCTTGGAATTTTCTTATGCAGCTCAAGATGATTTCAATCTCCTAGAATGGATAGAAATAAAAGGAGAAGGAAGAGTACACATTTTGGCTGGATAACAAAAGCCAGAGCTATAACAGGAATTGACCACCCAGTGTTTAGGAACTGTAGCTAATGAATATCCAACAGAGCTGTGTTGCAATGACTTCAGTGCTTGAGTTCACTCAAAAACACTATGTACTGTATCTATTTCTGATTTAGAAAGTTGTTCAAATCTGTACAGGAGCATAGAAATTAATCTCACCTTTGAGCTAGTATATCCACCCCTCAAATCATATCATTATTAGAAAGGTACATCCTTGGGGTGGGGGGAGTACTTGTGTTATTTTCCCTTCATGTCTGTCATGGGAGGCTTGAACCTGTTCGTGGTATTTAAAAATAGGCTTATCAGTGCCAAGAATGACACCTGAGTGGGAAACTGGATGAAGGAGGCACTTGATCTTTCTCAAGAGTCCTCCTTCGGGATGTTCCCCAAAAGCATCTGTGAACACCTTTGTGTGTGTTCTACCCTTCAGGGAACTCAAGGTTGGTATTCCTGTCACTGACGAAAATGGCATTCGGTTGGGGGAATCGACGAACGCAGCAAAGCAAGCCATCACGCAGGTGGTCATCTCCAGGATCCTCATGGCAGCCCCGGGCATGGGTGAGTGAGCTCGGTGGTCCCGCCTTGTAGTTCGTACCAAGCTTTTATGTGTCAGTAAACAGAACAGCAAACACAATTCCCCTTTGTGAAACTTACCTTCTGATGGAGGAGCCAGGAATGACCAAGTAAATAAAGCATGTACTACAGATAGGACATTCCTTACCCAAATGCCTGGGGCTTTCAGAAGTGTCCCAGATTTAGGATTTGTTTGGATTTTGGAACATTTACACATATATTATAACAAGCTATCTTGAGGATAAGGCCCAAAGTTAAATTTGAAGTTTATTGATGATTCATGTACAATCTTGTACATGTGGCCTAAATACAATTTCATGCAATATTGCTGATGGTTTCATAATATTGTGGGTGTGTGTCCCAACTGATGTGTCGTGTGGCTTGAGAGTGGCTGACCATTTACCTTAGGACATCATTTGGTTCTCAACAAGTTTCTGATTTAGGAATATTTCAGAGCTGAGAGCTAAGGAAAGGGGATGGTAGAGATGGCCGCCAGGCAAGGGACAGGGTAGACATGGTGAATCAGAGGTAGAGAAGGCATCAGCAGGAAGGCAGGAAGAGAGGGCATCAGCAGGGAGGCAGGAAGAGAGGGCATCAG